TTATTAACTACTTCAAGGATAGAAAAAAGACCGATTATAAACTTTTGTTGATCATATTTGCAATGAAAGAACTATTTATAAGCTTTGATTGAAGCAAAACTACATTATTGTCGTCTTGTACAATTTTGATATCTTATATAATACTATATTTTCAATTGTACAGAAGTCTTTCTTCTGAAACAATTTAATACTTTATTTTAGTGTAATTGATCATACAAAAAATACATACAAATGTAGCATAATAACATATTTTAATAGCAAAATAAAATTCTCACAAAATGCAGCTCATATTTGCTTAACAAAATCACCTGATTCACTCATATGACATCGCTATCCACACTTTGTAAGGCACCCTTTGTACTTACAAAGTATGGCTTCTCTAAAATAACTGGTATATTTATCTAAAAAAAAAAAATCTAGTATCTACATGTACATGTGAATGGAAGCAACTTGTGTTGTTTCTTTTCACCCCCAACCTGCTGAATACTAGAGGTGGGATTAAGGCCGAATTTAAGTTGTGGCTAATTCGATCGTTAAGTAACGAATAATGCTAAATATCCGAAAATGCCAAAGTCTTTTGTACAAACAGTTCAGGAGCAGTAAATTAGTTTAAATTATATTTTTTGTTACTGTTAATCTCTTTCTTTCAGTTGTTTTATTTTTTTACTTATTTCTTTTTGCGTGGCGGGCTGTCATCGTTATGTTTATAATGTTATCATAATGTGTTACTCCTCCAAAAGTTTTCTCTGACATTAATAGATCCTGCTTGCTAGTACAAATATAGAATGCAATAGAGGACATTTTTTTATCAACAGTGTTTTTGCTGTTAATATTTTTATAATTATATAAAAGTCTGTAACACTATTCAAAATACTTCACTCCACTGCTGGTAAAGTTCATATGTACATATACCTATACTTAAGTAAATGGTTCTGTTTATAGCTATAGATTTTTCATGTAGAATGCGTTGCCTTTAACACGAGGAAACCAATCTATAAATGTTTTAAAAAATAAATGTTGTTTCCTCCCAAATATCCTTTATTTCAAGCCTGTAAGCTATAGTCGCATTGAAGACTTTTTTCTCCATTTTGAATTCATCTGTACATACTTTTCCAATTATTGAGTAGATTATGAAATTTGAGTACCCATCCGATATAAGTAGGATATACGTTTTTATATTTTGAAGTGGTTACATACATGTATGTAAATTTATCTTTTCAGCGAATCTTCATGTAGACAATTTTTTTCTTTAGAGTTTTAAAACGATGGTCACGAGTGATCAGATTTTTCTTCGTCACATCTTGAAAATTCACGTCGTTGTGAGATCTGATTTTTTTTTAAAATTGCTTTATATATTTTTTACTTCAATAAAACTAACGATTGTTTGAGAATTAAGTTTTATTAGAATTGCTGTGATATTTTTAATAAAAAATAAAATATTTTGTGCATAATTTTTCAACCATAAGATAAGAATTGTTGTTGATTTTTATGATAATTCAAATTATCATATTGTACACTAAATATGGTATTATAATTTGCTTTAAAATTTTCTAAAAGATATTGCAGAGAACACTGCTGGGGATTGTTCTACTTTAATAATTACTGAGAAACAAGTATCGAAATGATAATTTCCATATACTTGATTTCATTAACAAATATAATTATTGGCCACCGGAAATGGTGGGGATTCATTCATAATTTTATTACTTTTTAGTAAGTTACCCTTTTCCTCGGTCTTTTTTTTTTTGATAATTCACTTCTATGTGCCTTAATATATAGTTATATACATGTAATGATCTCTTGTATAGTTTTACTTTGAAGATCTGTCAATTAAATTGACTTGACCGCCAGACAACAGAGTTACCGCCCTTGTGCTCCAAATATTCATAAACATCAAACAAACATCCAAATCAAAATATAAAGTAAGAGTAAACGGGAAACGTGCGAGACAATACATAAAATGAAAAATGTCTCTGAAGATGCATCACAAAGAGATTAATGTCTTATGTATTCCTATGTAAAACTATGATCACTCATATTTCCTATGTAACATGCATGATCAGGTTCTTACAAGGGGTATATAGGTTTTCCTTTTACTCTGTGTGAATTAATGATTGGAATGATTATTAAGACATCTCTGTCTGAGGGTATATATCACACCGTTCTTGAATTTTCTCTTATCTAGAGACCAAGGTCGTATCTACCATTGAGGCAAGCGAGGCAAATGCCTCGCTAAAATTTTAGAATTTTTTGAAAAATGAAAAAAAAAGTTTTACCTTGAACTTTAATTAATTACATGTGTCTTTGTACTTTATTAATATTTTCAACTTTTATTTCAATTTCTGTAAATCGATCATTTCACCGGGTGCTTCATTATCGTTTAAAACGCATGTAAAAAAAATAATTCAAAACGTGAAAACTTTCAAAGATCTTTAAGTCAATTTACTAAAACCCAGGTTTCGGGAATTTCCCCCTCCCTCGGAGAGAACACCCATCAGGACACTACCCTAGACCCGCTTGAAACTCGGGTGGCCCCAGATTCCTTTGCCTCACTAAAAAATTGAGCCTAGTTAGGGCCTTGGAGACGGGGACTGGGTAAGGTACTACTTGCACCGTGTTTCTCCTCTAGGTTCCCACTGATAGATAAGAACTGGGTGTCTCAATCTTCTTCAGATTTACTACACCCAGAACCTAACATCAATTCCGTAGGATACTTGCCAGTAGTGTTTGTTAATTTTATTTTGCTCTTACCCTTAAGGTTTTCCATCACTGAAAGGACCAAATTCTCTATCCTAAAATGTCCATTACAGGCATAAAACTCTGATATTAATTTAAAGCATTTTACAGTAGAAAAGGATTTACCAAGAAAACGTTCAAAAATGTAATTAACTAAGTAGTAATTAATTAACAAAGATAAAAGACTATGGGGACAAGTATTTTTTCAAAAATAAAAATTCAAATAATATCAATAAATACTATGGTGGAAAGATGCATAAAAACATTAGAAATAAAATGACAATTGAAAACATTTTTTTTACCAGATAAGTTTTTTAAACTTGATTTTTTTTATTAATTAAAAACAGAGGGATATAACTCTTACCAAAGTTCAAGGTCATAAATTAAGATAAATCCCACCCTTACATGCTAATAGTTATAAATGGGAATTATGTCTAAATATACTAAGTATTCAACATCAATACACCTGATATGTATTCAATTTCATTGAATCTGTTACTATTAGGGATGGAATACCTTAACTTCTTTATTGCTGATTCAACATCCAACTTCTTCAGCTAGATTCTAAATGCCTGACTTCCTCAAAGCACTGCCTTATATCCCCTTTGGTTTAGCTAGTCCATTCCCCTTCACCCAAGGAATTTTTGTGGCTAGTTTGGTTGAAACTGGCCCAATGGTTCTTGAGAAGAAGTCAAAAATGTGAAAAGTTTACAGACGACGGACGACAGACGGACGCCGGACACACTTTGATCAGAAAAGTTCACTTGAGCCTTCGGCTCAGGTGAGAGCTAAGAAGTGTGCGTATTTAGTAAAATGTAGTGAGATTACTGTCCATAATTAGTGATAAAAATTCGATAAAAGGCCCCATCTGTGTGAGAAATAGCTCCATCGCCTGTTTATGGAGGGACAAAGGGGAACTCGAGTATACCTGCATTAACGAAATTCCCTAGGTAGTTGTTTTTGTTGATTCCGGAATTCTTGTCAGAAAACAACTCGTCAACAAATGTCATCGATAAATATTTCTAATCAAAATGTCATAATCTATTCTACACAACAGAAAATCGAAACACCAGAAATTTTAAGAAATGCTGTTCATGAAAATAGGTAAATAATACATGTGTCTGCAATGAGCAATAAGTTTGTTATAAAGCTTTTATTGGATATCATTTTTTATCAGTAGCTCCATTACAGTATAATGAAATTTATATTTTACAGGAATTTTGTATTTACTATTCCTATCGGACAACAGCAAAATCCGTAGTTAGCATAAAGATGTACAATTAATTTCAATCTTTTGAAATTTCTAAAAATAATTAACCAACCACTGCTTTTTAATAATTAATATACCTACGTTGTTTAGTTGTATAAACTTTCAATTTAGCATTCATGTATATTGCTGACAGTCAAATAATATCTCAAGCAATTAAAAGGCGAGTAAATATTGTCGTCAGACAGATATGTCAAACTTTGCTTGCTTTAAATAATGGTATCAATCCACAACACTGCATGAGAGAAATGAATGACGGTACAACAAGACCCATTCTGCATTCTGTGTTTAACAATGATCAATGATGCAGAACTCGCAGAAATGTAGAAGAAATTTCCAAAAACCACTAACTAAATCTACAACTCAATCAGAAACATGTTAAAGCGCCTCCGTTAGATAATTCCAATCTTAAAGAATTATCAAAATATATTGTTGCACGGAAAAACAATGATTGCTTAAGCTTCTTTACACAGATAAATCAGGGGTAAAGCATCATTATATGTCATGCAAGTATGACGTGCAAGGAAAGAAATCCATATTGAGATATATTAATAGTGAATTTAGATTTCGAATTCTACCCTGATATGAAGGCAACAGTTGTAAGAAGTGTGTGAAACATATGGAACCACTTTCTGTTCAAAAGACACAATCAAACATCAAATGCTTGTACTCGGGTAGTACTCCCGATTGAATCCGACCTATATTTAACTGTTATTCTAAAAATATCACTGTAGAAATTGAATTTTGTATCGAGAAATATTGATATTTCACGCGCTGAATAATGGTTTTTGAGTACATCAATTTTTATATGGTATCGTTTTCTACACGGATTTCTTCTGACTGTCTCTGACGCAGAGTGTTTGGACGTCAGCTTCGTAATTATCTCTTCTTTCTTGATCAGATGTTTTAATTAAGTTTACAGAAAAAAGTCACAGCAGATCGACATAAGCAAAGGAGTCTGCCAGTTATTTTCATATTGAACATATTTTCTGGAAAAATGGCCAAGAATGCTTCAATAGCATCGCCAATTTTAATGGACCACACCGTGATCCCAGTAGGGTTTATCATCACCATTGAGAACATATTTTCTTTCCTGGTTCTTTACCGGTGTACCCGTCTTAATTACCAAATTCGGATTCTATCCATCAATCTGTGCATTTCTGATTTACTAACTGGTCTGTCGCTATGTTTTCCACTGAAATTTTACCACTTCAGTGAGAGTTGTGGATTCAAAAAGTATGTCAATTCATTTTTTGTGACCATTTCCTTGCTAACCGTAACAGTGATGGACATTGATAGATGTTTGGCGATCCACTTTGGAATAAAATACTACATCTACATAAGCAAAAGATTTCTAATTTCGGTGTGTACAGTTTGTTGGTTCATTAGTTTCCTGATCACCTACATGGTGTATTTTGATTTCACTGGATATTATGGAGTTCATTGTGAACCGATATTCAGTACCCCTAAAAACTCCATTACCATTTGTGCAAGCTCCTTTCTATTGCTGTCGATTCTGTCAAATGTGATCATGTTCATCTACCTAGTACGTAAAATTCGTAAAAGGTACCTCTACATCAAAGACAAAAATGTCCTTACTCGATCAACAGGCAGGTACACAGAACAAGGCATTGTGATCAAGAAGCTTTTGGCCATAACCGGATGCTTCATTTTATGTGCCACCCCATACATTATCACAACTTTTCCCGTCCTCGATTACAGCACTCCATTTGGGAAAAAAGTTCATACCATTACAGCCTTGACTATTCTTTCCAACAGTGCTATAAATCCGGTGCTGTATGTATGGAGGTTTCGCGAGGCTAGGTATCAGTTGAGACGATCGTTATGCTTCTGGAATCAAAGTTACGTTGAAAAACTCCAGTTAAGGCACAACGAAGAAAATGCATCATACGTCATTAACTTAGGACCGGCGATTCTTCCAGAAAATCACATACTCACAAAATCCAATGTTCTCTGTCAAACATGCTAACTTAAGCCAGTTTTTGTAATTTTGTTCCTTTGCACATGTTATATATTATTATGAATTTATATCGTTGCTTAGAATAGAAATTCGGACATCAAAATATGAGTTTTCGTTTCAATAGATTTTTAGAACAAAAGAAAAAAAATCAAGATTCAATGCAAATGTATTTTGAACAAGGGAACTCTTTTTCTTAATATTTTGGGACGCATCTAAGGACATTTTGCAAGAATTTCTACTCTACAAATGAAATTGCTAGTTGGGAATAACTGCTTAAGGAATATATTCTTAAGAGGAACCCGCCAATTCTTTATTCCAACAAAAGAATAGGAGAGGTCCTAAAGGAACATCCATTGGCTGCCTATAGGAGCCCGAGGAAATCACCTCTCGACCATTAAAACCAAGAAAGTCAATGAACCATTTGGGAAACATTTCAACCTTGGAGGTCACAAAGTGAAGGACACGACAGTAGTGGTTATTGACATAGCCCAAGATGCTTAGAAAAAAGGCAAAGAAAGTTCTGGGTGAAAAGGCTGAAGTCATACCGTCTCAATAGTCTTAACAAACGAAATGACTTCACCGGGATAAACGTAACCAAAACCTGTCCTTATTTTGATAAAGAAGTCTTAGACTGTTCTCTCTAAATAGTGTGAGCTTTACAGTTAATTAATCCACATCATAATTTTAAATAACCCTAATTGTATAATTTTTACCTTCATTTGTATTTATTGATTATACTTCTATTATCATTATCATTATCATTATCATCCGATAAAATATTTTAAAAATAATATTTCAAAATTTATAGGAACTCCAAATAAATATTCTTCCAAACATCTGAGCCGAAGACTTAACGAGGTATGGAATTTACGAGTAAATTCCATACCAAAAGCATTAAGTTAGGAACTATATTTTGTGGCGGAAGGTTTTTTTTAGAAGAAAATGATCAATTTTTCTATTTCGAAGTATTTAAAGTATGTTAAGTTTGGATTCCTATTTTTACATGCAGTCTGCACACATAGTTATTTTGTGCAGTGGACTGTTTTATACTGGTCCTAAATTATTTACTAAATAAACTGTCATGAATTCTATATCATCATATTTGATAAATACATCATATTTGATAAATATAGCAAATATATTGTGGAAATGAAGAAAAAAATAGCCTTACTTTAAGCTTGAAATTAGCTCTATTTTAGTAATATCTAAAAATTAACATCACAGACCCCCACTTTTAATTTTCTGTTCTGAATATATACGATACTTTTAACCATTCTTCTTAAATTCAGTAAAATGTCATTACTTTCAAATGATTTTTTTGCTTGTAAAATTTTAATGCCAGAAAAATGAAAATGTTTGAGTGCAAAAAGGTCAAATAATTGAACATGCGGAGTAATTCGAAAATTTCTTCGTTGTTACAAATTTTAATGTGTCTATTTAAGATGAAATAAGACTGTGTTTGTTCACCATAATTTATTTGAACAAAAAATATTGAAGGAAAAACTTTAAAAATTGATTTATGTGTAAGACGTATTTACAGTGCAAAAAGGTCAAACTAAATGCTCTGTAGCGCCAAAAGAAGCGCATTGACCCCCATTTTATGTTTTGATTTTTAATAAAGTTATGTGTATAAATTCTAAAAATATACTTGATAAAAAATTCTCATTACTTTTGATGGCAGGATCCAACCTCCTTAAGAGAGCTTTTCGGATCACAATTTTTCCGTTGTTAGTCGTTGCCGTCATTGTTCTATTTACAATTCCATCTTCTTCTCCAGAACCACTGGGCCAATTTCAACTAAACTTGACAAAGAGTATCTTTTGATAAGAAAGACTCAAGTTTGTTCAATTGAAGAGTCGTTCTGTCTTCCAAGGTGAGATAATTAAGAGAAAGTAGACATTGGGTCATTTAAAAATCTTCTTAAGAAAAACTGGGCCAGAAAAGATGAAACTTGTGTGAAAGCTTCCTGATATACTGTAAATTCAAGTTTGAACAAATCATAACCCCTGGGGCGAGGGCGGGAGCAGTATGGCCGATCAAAGTGGGTATGTATATATATTTAGGAAAACTCTTTAAAAATCTTCCTCTCAAGAATAGCAAAGCCATGATCAGTCATATTTATATTGAAATACCCATAGGTAGTGTAGATTTAAGTTAGTTCAAATCCTGACCCCCGGGGGTAGGTTGTGGCACAGGCACTTGTTTCGTATACAGGGCAACCGCTACTTATTTTTACCACAAGGTACATGTACCTAACTCAATTTCAGGGGCAACCCCTGTTCAAGCTCTTATTTTGTTAATATATCAATCATTAACCTACTTTAAATTGACATCGTTCGCACCGAAAGACTTTTTTCTTGTCAAATTAATCGTTTCAGACGTCTCTGGCCGAGGCTCTCTATTGTAAACCACTCATTTATTCCTCAAAAATTACCTCGATTCATAATAAGACTTTGAATGGGATACAAAAGCTTCCGGTTGGGGTTATAAATGTAGGATAAAACCAGAGACTTCCGAGTAATCCATTCCGAGTTCTCTGGTTTTATCCTTCATTTATAACCCCAACCAGAAGCTTTTGTATCCCATTCAAAGTCTTCTTTTGTATCGAGGTAATTTTCGAGGAAGAAATGAGTGGTTTACAAAATATGAGCTTGAAGCGGGGGTGCCTGAAATTGAGTTAAGTACCATGTGGTAAAAATAAGTTGAGGTGCACCGTATACGCAACAAGTGCCTATGGGTTGTGGCCACTAGGGGCGATCAAAGTTTTACATTGGTATAAATAGGAAAAATCTTTAAAATCTTCTCAAGAATAGAAAAGGTGTAACTAATCATATTTATATGGAACCACCCTCAGGTTTTGTAGATTCAAATTTGTTCAATTCATACCCTCGCCGTCGGGGGGGGGGGGGGGTAGGTGTGGCTGCTAGGGTGATCAAAGTTTTGCAAGGATATAAATAGAAAAATAGGAAAAATCTTTAAAAATCATCTTAGGTAGTGTATGTTCAAATTCGATCCCCGGATGGAAGGTGGGCCACAATGAGCAATCGAAGTTTTAATACTAGTTTGTAGAATTACATAGAAAAATTCTATAGCAATCCTCTTCTCAAGAACATCAAAGGCATGATCAGTCATATTCATATGGTTTTATCCACAGGTTGTGTAGATTCAAGTTAGCTCAAATCATGATCCCATGGGTAGGGTATGGCCACAATGGGCGATCAAAGTTTTACAAAAGCATACATAGAAGAAAATCTTTTTCCTTGAAACATCAAAGTCATGATTTGTCATATTTATTTTTAAAAAAATCCTCAGATAGTGTAGATTCAAATTTGTTCAAATTATGACCCCGGGGATGGGGACACAAATGGTGGTCAAATTTTACATGAGAATATATAGGAAAAGAAATCTGCTGATGAACAAGGAGGGCCAAATATATACTCAGGTGAGCGTTGTGGCCAATAGGCCTATTGTTTTGGTTTTCAATCGATGAATCATTGAAATTGCACCTACATATATTAAGCATGTACTTTTGCAATTTTTTTTTATTTACAGATGTAGGGTAAAAATGTTATTGATTAATTTAAAAGCTTTTACAAAATTTTCTTTTTTCTTTTATATTTTTTTTTGGGGGGGGGGGGGGGGGGAGTTGTGTCCAGAATTTTATGAAAATTTTGATAGGTTTTTTACTTTACTGTTCAACTGTTCGTTTTCTGTATGTGTCCTCTCATTGGAGAAAAAATAAAATTATAATACTTACACTTGTATTTAAGCTTGATGCATTGTTTAACTTAAGTGAGCCCAAATTTAAATACATTATATTACTGATGTATCTTCCTCATACTTTATTTGTTTTGGATTTCATTTTATTTTTTTAATTAAAACGAAATGCATGGAATACATGATATGAAGAAATGTAATGGATACTACACTGATATAAAATATAGGCAGTGGTCCGAATATCAAATGTCCATGTGATTTTAGAAGGAATTAAAATTGGTATACTCCAGCCATATCAAAATCATTGTATTTTGGATCAAGTAGAGAAATTTAGAAAGGAGTAGATTTAAAAAAAAATCGGCACATAAAGTGTCTCCGAAAAAAGCTTGCATATTTATTACCGTCTTCCTTGGAAGACGGTATACAGAGTTGAAGTATTTTACAGTCTTCGGACTATATGCACTTCCTCTCTTATGTGATTAGTAGAAATTACATGATGTGAAAATTCCAATTATATCATTGGTTAAAACGCTGTTCAACGCAAGGGAGAAAATTTTCTGTTGATCTAATTTTCGTACAACTTAAGATTTTCAATCTTCAAAAAAATTGACAAACGAACAGTTGAAAATGGCAATAAAATAAATCTAAATAACACTTTGATATTTTATCACAATAATTACTAAAAGGCGTTTCTATATTTTCATTGTAAACAGAAATGTTCTTTATTGCTCGTCAGCTTTATTCTTTTTCTTTGTTTTGCACTGTCTTTCTAATCCCTCGGCTTTCTCCGTAAACTCCGATTAGCAGAGTCGAAGACTACGGAAAAAACCGAGCGTCTGGTTGAACTTTCACAAGGTAGGGCCAATGTCAGTAAAATGTTGATGAAGAAATGCTTAAGAATAATACGGCCTGATAGGATGTCAGTTTACTGTTTAAGGTTGTTGCTAAAGACGGTAAGCTTTTTGAAAAAGCTCTACTTGTACTAAGGTGACGATGATATTGTTATTATACAGGGATACAAGAACTTCCAGCTGGGGTTATAAATGTAGGATAAAACCAGAGCCTTTCGAGTTTTCCATTCTGAGGTCTCTGGTTCTATCGTAGACTACAACCCTAACTTGTATTCCGTCTAGATTCTTAATATGTATAGAAATAATTTTCGAGGAATAGATGGGTGATTTACAATAGACTGTAAAGTCTGTGTTTTATTTTTTGGTTTGTGTGTTTTTTGCGAATGGGTAGGTAGGTTTTTGAAAGATGGATGGACGCTAAATGGACAAAAAAATTGGAAA